ATACAGCTAAGCAAACTTAAAGTACAAACAAATAAACAAACAAAACTAAAATCTATCAAAATTGATAAAAAATTTTCGATAGTTAATATAATTACTATAAAATCGTAAAAATACCATCAAACATGTATATTATATAGATGGAAAATAGCTTTGACGATTTATTGACTATTTCGAAAAATCAGTTGACGATTTTGACGATTTTTCCTCGAAATTTGACGATTTTACGCCCAAATCATCTGGCAACTATGGTCTGAAGAAATATTCCATTTGATTGAGGTAACTATATACCTTCCTGAGTAGTTTCTACCTGTCGTCGATTTGAAATTGTTTTCGCAAAATGTGTCCTCATCCGACCTCAAAACCTGTTTTGGGGTCTCCTGCACCACCGAAGTGTTGAGAAGTGACACTGTTGTTCTAGGTTGTGTCGTTGCTGATATTGGTCCCCCCACAATCCAGCCAAGTACTGTTTTTTGTACCAAAAAAGATCCAATAGACCGCATCGGAGCGTACATGCAATATATTGAGGGGCCCAGGTCGAGGCCTATAAGCAAGTCGATGGGTCTGCTTTGATTGAATTGAGGATCTGCAAGTTCTAATTTAGCTGGTTCTTTTAGGATCTGTTATTTTAAATAAAACACTTGTTTTTGTATTTTTGATTTTTGGTTTTATATAATTCTAATTTGGTTTATTTCACTGTTTTTTGTTTGTTTAATTTACAATGTTTCGTATTTTGTTTGTGTATTTTACAAGTCTTGTTTCTTTATTTTTGATCTTTAATTTTAAGTTTCTTTTTCATTTAAATTTACTTTGTTTTGTATGTTTTTATGCTTTTAATTTATGTTTGTTCAAAAGGGTCACAATTGTTTTTATTTTGAGTTACAATATTTGTTATTGTTTAATGTAAGAGTCGCACAAATTTACTTTTTAAATTGAGGTCACACTTGTTTCACTGTTAAAGGTTTAAACTAGAGTGATCATGAACATAATATTTTAATGCTAGTTAGCAATATTAATGCAAAAATAAAAGAAGAGAGACCAAAAGCAAAGTGAGTAAATATATAAAAAAGGCCCGTTATTATATTAAAAGGTGTTTCATTAAGTTGTGTTAATACTAAACAATCCTTAAATCTTTCACACACATGCATAATTAAATATCGCTAAAGCATAAATATAAAAGAAAATGGCGTTTGTAATGTTCAATAAATCTTGCAATTGTAACAGATTTAAGCTGTTTAAATCTTTGGGCTTTTATATTTAAGGCATGATAAAACTTATTTCTACAAATATTTGATCAATTAACAATGTATTAATATAAAAGGAGGTGGTGGAGGGTATTTAAGATTCAGCTCAGCCGAATATAGCACTCTAACTTGTTTTTTATTAAAAATTTTTGTTTCTATATTATCTCAAAATGTTTACATATATTTTTCAGGTTTTATTATACCCTTCACCTTCGTGAGAAGGGTATATATAAGTTTGTCATTCCGTTTGTAATTTCTATAATATAATTTTCCGACCACATAAAGTATAAGTATATATTCTGGATCATTATAGGTAGCGGAGTTGATTAAGCTATGTCCGTCTGTCTGTCTGTCTGTCTGTCCGTCTGTGTGTTTGTTGAAATCAGTTTTTAGAGGGCCCCAGATATCGGCGAGATCCAAATCTTCAATAATTCTGTTAGACATGCTTTCGAGAAGATCGCTATTTAAAATCAGCAAAATCGGTCCATAAATACCGGAGGTATGAGCAAAAATCCGAGACAACCTCTGAAAATTTCATAAAAAAGACAATTTGTTTCATGCTTTGATATACGCAACAACAACAACACTGCTTATTCATTTAGTATTTCGTTTCATGTGTTTGGATGGCTGTGTGTTTCATTGCCTTGTGTATATTGTTTTTGTTTCTTGGTGCATTCAGTTTCGTATGTTTGGATGTCTCTTAGCAACGATGTCCATTTCATACAGTGTTGCCATATATTTTTTGAAGAAAACTTTTTATTTTTATGAAAAAAACTTTTTTTCAACAAAAAAAAAATTTTTTGTACTAAAATTAAAAAATACCCAAGAAAAATTAGTGAAAAAATGAGCAAATTGAGGAATTTTAAATAGCTTAATGATAATTGGTACAGAACTTTTCCTTAACATCAGTAGCAAGGAATTACTGGATATTGTGGTCTTAGACACCATAAATTTACACTTGAAATTTCATGATGAATCTATGTAGATTCTGTGTACTACAAGAGGAAACCTCTGAACTTTTGTAAGTACCCGTAATTGGGAACTCGAAACACGAAGATTTTGTCTTACCCAGACCCAGATGATATCTTCAAACACTCACCGATTAATCCATTTATCTTCATGCGCGAATTTGGCCTAGTATGGTGAACCAATGGGCTGCACAAAATCTCTACAATATGGTCGAAGTGCATTGTGTCCTTAACGTCTATTCTAAGGGATTAAGGTCATCAACACCGGTCAATTTTTTTCAGTTTTTAGGAATATCTCGAATATTAATGGTATAAAATATTATTTTGTTAATGGTAAACATTGTTTTTTATTTTAAACTTATTTATTGATTAAATAAAATAGAAACTGAAAAACTGTATAAATTTTCAAAAAACTTTTTTTTGGAATAAAACTTGAAAACTTTTTCGAATCTCAAAAAACTTGCAAAAAAGGGAAAACTTGACATATGGTAACACTGATTTCATAGCACAATTGTTCTGACTAAAACACACACATATTCTTATTCTCTTTTGTTTAGTCGTCACTGAACCAGCGACGAATGCACATGTGTAGCGGGTGTACGATTTTATTTCAATATTTTTGTTTACAGTACTGAAAGAATTTAATATGGCATGCGAAAAATATTTTATGATTATAAACACTGTTGCCAATTTAGCTATTTTCTCGTCAAATCTAGCGACTTTTAATCCCATTTTGCGGGGAAAAATATGATTTAGCTATTAGCGGGAAATCTAGCGATTTTTCTTTAGATTTCATTTATATTTTGATAATATCGCTTAAAAGTTGCTACGAATGACGATTTACATATCTGTATGTATATAAAAATATGCATTCAATGTAAATTATTTGAGTTTTAGCTGTGTGTATTATACTTATTTTGAATGTTCTGAAGAACATAATTAGGAGCAAATATTTGTGCGTACAGGTAAAGTTATACGAAAAACTTTAAAAGGGGTATATTTTGTTGTACTCAATTAAAAAACGAATATTTAATTATTCTAGTCTTTTAGTAAATGAGTGATATGATAATAAAATTTACCATAATTCTAAAAATTAGTGAACATTGGAAATAAGTGACGAAAGGATCGATCCATAAAGTCCTAAAAATTTACAACATTTCTAAGGCGTATAGGGCCGCATATCGATATTGCAGATAAACTTCCCACAAAAGGAGTGTATAATAATAATCTTGGGTGCCCCGGTAGGCTAGTTGGTAGTATGCTAGCCTGTCAGTCTGAGGGTTCGATTTCCAGCAGAGATCCTGGTCTGCTACACTACAACGGTCGTATGGTTATCGTCACCCTGCTCGGTAAATTAGGTAAGAATATAATTTGTAATTGTATTGTAATGGAAAAATAAATAATACTCTTATGCTGAAAATAAAGGATCGATCCATAAACGCCAGCATTTCGAAATTCAATTTATCTTTACAACATTTCTAAAGCAATCTGTATAGGGTCTCATATCGAAATTAACCTCAACTTGACATTTTTCCTAACCCAAAGTGAAAACATTTAACATAAAAAAAGATTCTCTTATGTGTTTGTTATAAGATGTGTTTGTATCACTATCCCATTCCTACGTATGTATATAGATTTTAGCGATAAATCGCTGACTTTTTAGAATAATATAAAAAATCTGAAAAATTTAGCTAGTTTTTTTAGCTATTTGTTTTCAGAATCATATAATAAATATTATTTTGACGATTTATCGCTATATTTTTCAAAATGTCTTGAATTTAGGTATTTTCTAGCTATTTTTCAGTCGACTTTAGCGATATTTTTGGGAAAAAAGTTGGCAACAGTGATTATAAATGCGTTTGACAATACTCAATGTCTTTTATGTTATAAAACATTTAAGGAAATTAGGGGATTTGTTTTAAAAAGACATTATGATTCTTTTCATAGTAATATGGATGGATTTAGTGATAGGGAAAAAGAAAAATTATTTTTAAAATATAAAATTATTTTTTTGGAAAAACTAAAGAATTGGTTATCTGATAGGGAAGCCAACGAAAAGAATTTAGATGATAAAAGTTTAAAAAAAGAGTTGTCAACTCTTATAAGTTTAGATATTGTTAAACATGGTAGACCATTTTCTGATGGAATATTTATTAAAAATATTTTATATAAATGTTTTGAAAAATTGAAGTACAATTTAAAGTTTATAAAGTACCTCCCGTTATCTCGGAATAGCGTAGTTCGGCGAACAGATCAACTAGGAATTTTTGTAAATTTTTTTTTTGGTATACACAATTTTTCTTTCAGTACAGTTCTCTTTCGCTCACCAATACAACTACAGTTTTAGTTTTGGACATCACTGCTCTTAGTTTCATTAAGTTGTTTTGTTTCGTATGTTTCGTTGCCTTGTGTATATTGTTTTTGTTTTTTGGTGTATTCAGATTCGTATGTTTGGATGTCTGTTGGTTTCATTGCGTTGTCTATTTTGTTTTTTGTGTATTTCGTTTCGTATGTTTGGATGTCTGTTGGGTTTACTGCCTTGTGTATTTTGTTTTTTTGTGTGCTTATTCGTTTAGCGTTGTTGTTGTTCGTTTTGCTATTGCTATAATAATGATATAAACGGGAAAATGAAATAAATTAAAATTTTATAGAATTGATATTTTTAAATAGACTGTGGTGAAGGGTATATAAGATTCGGCACAGCCGAATATAGAACTCTTACTTGTTTTTACTTTAAATTATTCAAATTAAAACTTGTATTCGTCATTCGTTCGAATAATCAAATCATTTTTAAAATGTCATTCGTTCTCTTATGTAAAAAATCCAAAAATTGTAATTCCTAAAAATTGTAAACCCCTAGAACAAATTGAAGATTTTTATTTAACAATTATATGTTCCAAAGCCAGCTTGTTGCAAATTTGGAAAACGGGAACAAAATAAATCATTCAAGTTTGTTGTGGCAGTAGGAAATGTTATAATACGAATGTCACCATTTTCTGATACTTGCAATGAATTAAAATATAATGTTGATGGTGTAACTGTCGCCAACGGAGGTTGGGGCCTAGTCCAACCTCCGTTGGCAGCGGAATTCAATTTGTTGACAACTGCCGATCCTGTTTGTGAAAGACCGGTTACAAAAAACTGATTTTGTAACTCGCCAGAAATTGGATTGTACTGAGCGCAACGTGACTTCGCTAAAATGCAGGATGTTATGTTTGTGTAAAAATAAATCCGATCACTGTCAGATTCTAATTCTCTCGTTCCTAAACTCTCAGCATAGCATGTAGAGATCTGAAATAGAAAAGGTTTTTTGTAACTGAAATATAAATTTAAAACAAAGAGCGTGTGCCAAACTGTATCAAGGTAATATGGGAAATTCCATGGAAAAGTAAACCACGACTGACAAAACAAACTATTTTGAAACTTTTCCGTTTTTTACATAGTCAAATATTTATCTATAAATTCCAAAATTCTTATTTTTATCTGTAAATAATTTATAACCAGTGGGCTTCACTACCCTAAAAATTATATACATACCAGCTGCGTGTACCCGGCGTTGCCCGGGTTTCTTCGAATATTAAAAATAATATTTTTCTATCTGTAATGACTATACTTTTTTTATACCCTCCACCACCATCAGTGGTGAGAGCGGGTATATATAAGTTTGCCATTCCGTGTGTAACACTAAAAAATATTCATCTGAAACATAACAAAGTATATATATTCTGGGTCCTTATGAAATTCTGAGACTAAACTACTCTGAGACTAAACTAAGCAAATGAAATCAACCAAATTCACTGGGAATATTCATTGTTTACTTATGCAGTTTGGTATTGAAAATCAGAAAAATCGGTTCACAATTTCCCAAAATTTCCCATAGCCCCCATACAAAGGTACATATTCCCGGAATTTAATTTATCGTTAATAACTTCCTCAAATATATCGGTATCAACACAAAATTTTGTACATATTGACACAACATGAACAGGAATCATACTACTGACTTAGATCTGTATCGGTCCATAATTGGTCATAGCTCCCATATAAGATCCACTTTCGAAAATCACTTAAATGAACATATTTCATTGATAAATAAAGCTATCGGGATAAAATTCGACATGAGTATGTTTTGTGTATACATAAATCACTCTAAATCACTCTAAATCACTCGGTCCATAATTGGTCATAGCTCCAATATAAGGTCCACATCCGAAAATCACTTAAACGAGCTTAATTCATAGATAAATAAAGTTATCTAGATAAAATCCGACATGAATGTGTTTTGTGTTTATATGAATAACTCTACGAAATTTGTTCCGGATCGGTCCATAATCGGTCATAGCTCCCATATAACGTCTACATCCGGTAATCACTTAAATGCGCATAACTCATTGATAAATAAAGCTATCAGGGTAGAAATCGAGGTGAATATGTTTTGTATATAGATATAAATCATTCAGTGAAATTTTTTCCGGATCAGTCCACAATTGGTACTGGCTCCCATATAAGGACCACATCCTAAAATCACTTAAACAAGCTTAATTCATTGATAAATAAAGCTATCGGGATAAAATTCGACATGAATATGTTTTGTGTATATATGAATTACATTACGATTTTTTTTCGGATCGGTCCATAATTGGTCATAGCGCTCATATAAGGTCCAAATCCGAAAATCACTTAAATGCGCATAATTCATTGATAAATAAAGCTATCAGGGTAAAACTCGACGTGTTTTGTATATATTTGTACATAAATTATTCGTGAAAATTCTCCGCATCAGTTCATAATTGGTTACAGCTCCCACATAAGGAATTTTTTAAGTATCGGTCCATAAATAGCTCCCATATAAGGTTCACTTCTGAAAACCACTTTATACCACATAATTTATTATTAAAACCGACATGAGTATTTTCTCTGTATAGATAAATCATTTTGATTATTATATCCTCCACCACCATCAGTGCTGATAGAGGGTATATACATAAGTTTGTCATTCCGTTTGTAACATCGAGAAATATTCATCTGAGACCCAAAGAAGTATATATATTCTTGGTACTTATGAAATTCTGAGTCGATTTAGATATGTCCATCTGTCTGTCTTAATAAAACACGCTCACGTTAAAACGGAGCAACGGAACTTTATGAAATTCACCCAAAATATTCATTGGTATCCTAAGCAGTTTGGTATTGAAAATCAGCAAGACGGCAAAATAGGTTCAGAGTTATTAGTAAAAATTTGAGACAACCTCAAAACAAATTGTGCTTTTTCACATATTTATTTATACTTTTTACAAAAACTACTACAGATAAATTGATGAATTTTGTCAGAGATATAACTCTTGGTGCCACGATCAACATTGTTAAAAATCGGAAAAATCGGTTCACAATTTCATATACCTCCCATACAAATGTACATATTCCCCGAAATTAATTTATTGTTAATAACTTCGGAAATAATGCCGATAATACGAAATTTTACAAATTTAAATTCTAAGCCAATAGAATTCATATAAAGAAACAATTTTCAGAATCGGTCCATAATTGGTCATAGCTCCCATATACGGTTCTCTTCTGAAAAACACTTAAATGCACATAACTCATTACCAAATAACGATATTCATACAAACTTTGGCACAAATATTGCTTTTATCTACAGAAATCTTACTGTACATTTTTTCACGATCGGTCCACAATTGGTCATAGCTCCCATACAAGGTCTCCTTCTCAAAATCACTTAAACGCATATTTCTCATTATTAAATAAAGGTATCCATAAAAAATTTAGCACAAACATTGCTTTTATATACAAAAGTGATACTGTAAAATTTGTTTACGATCGGTCCGTAATTGGTCGTAGCTCCCATACAAAGTCCCGTTTCAAAAAATAAAGATATCCATACAAAATTTGGCACAAATATTGCTTTTATCTACAGAAATCTTATTACATTTTTTTTATGATCGGTCCATAATTGTTGATAAAAGTTATTCAGCAGCAATGTTTTGTACAAACAGAAAATAACATGGCATTTTTATATGAAAACAAGTAAGAAATTATAGTCGGGCGAGGCCGACCATATAATACCCTACACCTGTTACAAAAAAAAATGTGATTTAGTTTTCATAATAAAGCATTTAAGTTGAATTGTACCTTGCCTCAGATTTACTTAAGCCATTTATTGTTGAATGGAATTGTGGACATTTAATTCGAATTTTGAAGGGGGCTTTGAATGGTCAAATGAGAGCCTATCTTTTTGTCGAGATACGAGTATATTAAACATAATTATGAACTTAAAAGCCATATTAGTCCGGATCAGTTGTATGGGAGCTAGGTGAAATAATGGACCGATGGACCGAGGCTTCGTCTCCGGTACCATAGAAGATCGTGTGCCAAATTTCATTGAATTATCTTTAAAATTGCGACCTGTAGTTTGATTCAAAGTTTAAAAGCCTTATTCAGGGGTTCAGTTGTATGGGGGCTAGGTGACATAATGGACCGATCGTAACCATTTTCAATAGGATTCGTCCCTGGGACAATAGAATATCATGTACCAAATTTCATTGAATTACCTTCAAAATTGCGACCTGTAATTTGATTACAAGGTTTACATGGACGGACGGACGGACAGCCATAGCTAAATCGACTCAGAAAATGATTCTAAACCGATTGGTATACTTTAAGGTGGGTATATGACCAATATTATTGTGCGTTACAAATATCAGCACAAACCCAATATACCCTCCCCACTAAAATGGTGTAGGGTATAAATATTAGTTAACCAAAAACAATATAATGAAGTGGTGTAGTAGTGTAGTAATTAAATTTTTTTTAGGATCAAATTAAGTTTCGAAATTCGGTTCAACAATAAAAATTTAAAAGCTAATTTTTTCATAGGATCAACAACGTTGAAAATCTCCCGTACAAAATTATATAAGTTTTATAACTATAACTATTGCCATACATTTTTCTCACACATAGAAATTATTTTAAGTACAGAACATAGATTAAATTTAGTGCGCTCTGTAACAGTCTGTTAAGTGGTAGTTTTGTTATACACCACTTTAGTGGGGAGGGTATATTGGGTTTGTGCTGATGTTTGTAACTATACCCACTTTAAAGTATACCAATCGGCTTATAATCGTTTTGTGAGTCGATTTTACTATGTCCGTCGTGTCGATTTTACTATGTCGTGTCCATATAAACCTTGTGCGCAAGGTACAGGTCGCAATTTTCAAGATAATTGGATGAAATTTGGCACACACGCTTTATCCAAGGACGAAGCCTATTGAAAATGGTTAAAATCGGTCCATTATTTCACCTAGCCCCATACAACAGTACCCCCGAAATGATTATGTTAAATATACAGTGGCGAGCAAATCTGGATAATTGTTTAGCAAATAAGACTTAAAAATACAATAAAACCCAAAATAAAAGAAAAATAATGAAGTTTTTAATTTAAAATATTCAGTAAAAGAATATAAAAATAAAACAAAATTAAATTCATGGTAATTAAATATTAATCTAAAGATTAAAACATATTTGTGAATAAAGTCGCAGTATCCACTTTTGCACGTTAAAAAAAAACTAAATTTTTAATATTTTGTTCAAAGTCCTTTTGCTTTCATGACACTTTTTATACGTTTTGGCGTACTTTCGACCAAGGTCTCAATGGTCCGGTGCGGAATATTAGCCCACACCCTTTGTAATCTCGACCAAAGTTCATTAAGATTTCTTGTCGTATTGCTCAAGACGTTTTTTAACAAGCTCATAAATTTTTAATTGGATTGATTTCCGGACATTGAGTTGGCCATTGCATCGTTTGAAAATTCTGCACTGAAAGCCAGTTCTTTACCATTTTTACCGTATGCTTCGGATCCCCATCCTGTTGCAGTATAACCTCTGACTTTGGATATGCACATTCTTTCACAAAATCTGGAATATTGGATTGAAAATGCTCAAATAACCCTCCTTTTTCATTATAGCATCTAATTTTACTAAAGGACCGAGATTCTACCAATTGAAACAAGCCCACACCATCAAACTACCATCCCCATGTTTCACAGTTTATTTTACTTGGTGCTTTTTTATGTTTTCATTAGGGCGGTGCAGTAATATTCCTTGCCATCAGATTGAAATCGATTAGTCTTCGTTTCATCGGACCATATAACCCTTTTCCAGTCATCAACACTCCAACATTTTTTTCTGATAACGCTGGTGTTTTCTTATTTGTGGCTGATATAAGGCCAATTCTACGAAGAGCTCTCCGGGCTATCGATTCACTTAAGGGCTTATTTATGGCGACATGAGCCTGTTTTTGGTGTTATTACCTGTTTGGATGTCAATAAACGCTCCAAAGTTCTGCCATCTTTCTCCGAAAGCAAGCACGATCGACCTTTCTTAACTTCTGGTGTGCTCATATTTTTTCTTTTTCTCACTTGTAGCACTGTTCGGTGGCAAATTCTTAACTTCTTAGCAATTTGACGAGATCAGTAATTATTTGTTGTCATTTCGACCATTTGGTCTTCCAATAAACTTGATATTTTTCTTATTAAAACTTGAAAATTAATATCTTTGCAAAAAATTACAAAGTTGACACAAAAATGGTAATTGTTTGTTTTGATGCTTCCTTCAAAGGTAAATCAAGTAGCAGTACTCAAATTCATTGCTATTTTTAAATTTATTTGTGTTGTTAGATTAATTAAATTTAAACGTGCGATAGTGGATACATTTTTTAATAAAATTGCCTAAAACTTGAGATAAAGTTTCAATATTCGCGAATTTTCTATTGTTTTATTGTATTATTTTCTTATTCTTCTATTGCTTATTTTAAATCAAACATATAAATTTTTTTAATATTTTCTGGATTTTTAATATAAACTTGATTGATATGTATCCAGATATGCTCGCCACTGTACCTGTATATCGATAAAAAGCGCCACAACTAAGTTTTATACAAGCCTTGATGGACTTGCCAAATTTCATATAGATCGGGCCTCATTTGACCCTAGCTCCCATACAAAGTCCCCTTCAGAAAATTACTTGAATGTCCAAAATTAACTTATAAACACAAATATCGTGATGAAATTCAGCACAATTAAATTTTATATAAATATAAATATATTCACAAAACTTTATCGGGCTGGGCCCATATTTGCCCCTAGCCCCCATATAAAGCCTCTTTCAGAAAATTGGTTTTTCATCCATAAATTGCTTAAATGTATCGGAACAAAGAATTATTATGAAAAATAAATCACATTTAATATTCATAACTGGTGTAGGGTATCATATGGTCGGTCTCGCCCGGCTATACTTTCTTACTTGTTTTTAATTGCATATTGTAAGGCGTAATGAAAGTAAGTCTAAAATATTAAGGTACATTTTAATCAATCAATAAAATTTGATAATTTATGAAACCAGTTTAAGGTGGAGAGTATTTAAGATTCGGCAAAGCTTAATATAGCACTATGACTTGTTTACATATTCTAATGTAATTTTCACAAATACTGTGCAATATAACTCCATGAAAATCATCACACATTTGTTTCTATACAAGTGCTTTATTCTTGTTGAAAATTTGCGGAACTTAAAGTTTTATGTCAGTAGTATTCATCCAAAGAAACAAATTTCAGGATAGGTGAATAATTGGTCATAGCACCCATACAAGGTTCCCTTCAGAAAGTCATTTAAACGTACACAACTCATTATCAAATAATGATATTCATTCAAAATTTGGAACACATATTACCAGACCTGGGATAAATGCATTAAATGTGTTAATGCATTAACAATTTTTTCTACATTAAAAAAAATTAATGTTAATGCAAGTTTATTGCATTAACATTAACATGGGTACATTTAATGCATTAAATTTGCATTAACATTAAATATTTTTAAATTTAATGCATTAATTTTACATTATCATTAAATATTTGTGAAATTAATGCATTAATTTTGCATTAACATTAAATATTTTTGAATTTAATGCATTAATTTTCCATTAACATTAAATAATAAATAATAAAATTAAAGCATTAATTATCCATTAACATTAATGTATAAAATAATTTATAAAAATAAGAATACAGCGCTAAAGACCTCGGTCTAACTAAATTCAAGTAAAATTGAATGTGTTAAAGTCCTTTCTAATAAGTCCTATACTCGATAATACATATTAGAAGAATAGTATCACTTCCCGGATATTCCTTTTTTAGTTTATTTTGTTAAAGTCCTTTCTAATAAGTCCTATACTCGATAATACATATTAGAAGAATAGTATCACTTCCCAGATATTCCTTTTTTAGTTTATTTGGTCTGTGGAATCTTATATAAATATCATATTTAAAACACACAAGTTTAGGAGTTATTAGAAAGGACTTTAACCTATTTAATTTTAGTTGTATTTTGTTAGATCGAGGTCTTTTGTGCTGTATTTTTATTTATGTTTATCAAGTTTTATATATATTAATGTTAATGGAATATTAATGCATTAATTTTATTGCTTATTTAATGTTAATGTAAAATAAATGCACTAAATACAGATATATTTAATGTTAATGCAAAATTAATGCATTAATTTCAAAAATATTTAATGTTAATGTAAAATTAATGCATTAAATTCAAAAATATTTAATGTTAATGGAAATTTAATGCATTAAATTTTACAAATTTAATGTTAATGCAATATTTTTTACATTAAATTAATTTTTTTTTAATTTAATGTTAATGCAAAATTAATGGAAATCTCCCAGGTCTGCATATTACCTTTGTATACAGAAATGTTATTTTAATTTTTTTTCACGATGGGTTCACATTTGGTCATAGCTCCCATACAAAGTCCCTTCCCGAATATCACTTAAACGCACATAACTCATTTCTAAACTAAAATATCCATACAAAATTTAGTGCAAATTTTGCTCTTATATACAGAAATATTACTCTGAAACAATCATGGGGGGTAATGATTACACAAAGTAATTCATTATATGGTCAATTACAATTACTTGTAATTGTAATTGAAATTTTCCAATTAAAATTACTTGTAATTGCAATTAAGGTATTACTAATTACAAATTACAAATTACATGTAATTATAAGGAACAAAATTCACAATTACAAGTAATTGTAATTGGAAATTCTTCAATTACAATTACAAGTAATTGTAATTGGCAAAACTTCAATTACCATTATAAGTAATTGTAATTGTCAAAACTTCATTTACAATTACAAATAATTGTAATTGGCAAAACTTCAATTACAATTAAAAGTAATTGTAATTAGTAATGCTTCAATTACAATTACTTCAAATGTTATTGTAATTGAAAATGTAGTCATTACCCCGCAAGCCTGCTCTGAAATCCATAATCAGAAAATCGCACATAATTCATTACCAAATATTGATATCCATACATTTAACACAAATATTGCTCCTATATACATACATAAATGACACTACAAAATAATTCATTACCAAATATTGATTCATACATTTAGCACAAATATTGCTCTTATATACATAAATGACACTATAAAATTTTTTCACGATCGGTCTATATTTGGTCATAGCTCCCATACAAAGTCCGCTCGAGAAAATCACTTAAATGCACAATATTCATTACCAAATAATGATATAGATACAGAATTTAGCCAAAATTTTATCTTTATATACATTAATGTTACTGTGGATTTTTTTTTACTTTCGAATCCGAAAACGTGAACCGATATGTCCCATTTTCAATATCAAACAAACCGTACCTATAGAGAATATTGGAAAATATGGAAAATTTCAACCCTCTAGCTCATTCTGTTCGGACTCTATCCTGTTTTCAACAGACAGACGGACATGGCTAGTTCGTCTTAGAATTTAATAAGGACCCAGAATGTATTACTTTTGTGGGTCTATGACGAATATTTCGATGTGTTACAAACGGAATGACAAAATCAATCACCTTTTTTGATGGTCGGTATAAAAATATTACTATAAAATTAGCTGGTGGAGGGTATTTTAAATTCGGCTCAACCGAATATAGCACTCTAACTTGTTGTTTATACTATTCAACAACATCAGCGTTGATAAAAGTTATTCAGCAGCAAAGTTTTGTACAAACAAAAAATAATATGTCATTTTTATATGAAAAATATTAGTTAACGAAGCACAAAATAATGAAGTGGTGCAGTGGATAGAACGGAGAATTAACACACTGAGCGTTGCCGGTTCGATTCCTGGTCTATTTAATCTTTTTTGTCATAAATAATTAATTTTCATACCCTCCACCACCATCAGTGGTGATAGAGGGTATATATAAGTTTGCCGTTCCGTGTGTAACACCAAGAAATATTCATCTAAGACCCAAGTATATATATTCTGGGTCCTTATCAAATTCTGAGTCGATTTAGCCATGTCCGTCTGTCTGACTGTCTGTCTGTGTAAAACACGCTCACATTAAAACTAAGCAAAGGAAACCAACCAAATTCACCCCAAATATATATTATTATCCTAAGCAGTTTGGTATTAAAAATCAGCAAAATCGGTTCACAACGTAAAAAGTTATGAGTAAAAATTTCAGACTACTCGAAAAAAATTATGTTTTATTTCAACATTTTTTTGAAACTACCAATGATATTTCGATGAATGTTGTCACACATTATTTTTTTAGGCCAGTGATCAATTATGTTCAAGATCTTTACAATCGATCGAATATTTCAAATAGCCCCCATACAAAGGAAATTAGTTTATCGTTAGTAACTCCCTCAAATATATCGGTATCAACACAAAATTTTGTACATACAAATATAATATGAACATACAGTCAATGTAGATCTCAGTCGGTCCACAATTGGTCATAGCTCCCATATAAGGCCCACTTCCGAAAATCATTTAAAGGCTCATATTTCATTGTCAAATAAAGCTATCGTCATAAAATTCAACACAAATCTATTTTGTCTAAATATGAATTACTCTGCCAAAGTTTTTCCGGATAGGCTCATAATTGGTCATAGCTCCCATGTAAGGTCCACTTCCGAAAATCACTTAAACGCATATATTTCATTGAATTCTACAGCTATTGGGATAAAATTTGACAATAATATGTTTTGTGTACATTCAAATCATTCCACCAAATTTTTTACGGATCGGTCCATTATTGGTCATAGCTCCCATATAAGGCAAACTTCCGAAAATCACTTAAAAGCACATATTTCATTGCCAAATAAAGCTATTGATAAAATTCGACACAAATATGTTTTGTCTTTATATGAGTCACCCTACGAAATTTTTTCCTAATGGGCCCATAATTGGTCATAGCTCCCATATAAGGTCCACTTCCGAAAATCACTTAAACGCATATTTTTCATTAAATTCTAAAACTAAAAGGATGAAATTCGACTTGAATTTATTTTGTGTACATATAAATCATTCTAC